GGTGGAGGCTGGAGCATTAGCAAGGTGCAGGAATGCACACGATAGAGCGAGGCAGAATGAGATCACCAGCAATGCCAGGTCGTGTTTTTGCAAAGAACTGCAGCAAATTATTGGAATCAAAAGCATCAGAGAGTGGAGCAAAGACAGAGCAGATTACTGGAGGTGCAGTGCCATGTGCTGGTTTGTTTTATTTGCAAACATGTACCTTATTCATGAAAAAAAAATCTTTATGTGCATACACAGTTACTAAAGCAGTTCCGTTCTGTACAGAGATAGTAAGGACTGCCGATGCTGGAGTCAGCGACAACACAGTGTAGAGCTGGAGGAGCACAGCAGGCCAGGCAGCATCAGAGGAGCAGGAAAGTTGATGTTTCAGGTCAGGACCCTTTTCCTGAAGAAACGTCAGCTTTTCTACTCCTCTGATGCTGCCTGGCCTGCTGTGTTCCTCCAGCTCCGCACGGTGTTATCTCTGTTCTATGCAGTCTTTGTATATGGAGAATAAACAAACATTGGAGTTTGACTATTTCTATGGTTGCAACAAAACCAGAGGCACATCATTCTCATGCAAAATAATATTTACATATAGTTGAGGCACTGGGGGGGAGGGGTGTCCGATAACTGAACAGACCTCCATTTACCTTCAGCAGGAAGCCCTCAGACCATGGTCTTTCCCCACTGCCCCTTGGCAGCAGCTGCCCTGAGCTTTAGTGCGTCCCTCAGCACATAGTCCTGGACCTTGGAATGTGCCAGTCTGCAACTCGGTCAGGGTCACCTCCTTGCTCAGGAAGACCAACAAGGTTTCGGGCAGAATCAAAGAGCGTCTTTCACCGAGTTAATGGTCCTCCAGACATAGTTGATGTTTGTTGCAGTGTGCGTCCCGGGAAGCAGACTGTAGAGAACGGAATCCCGCATCACGGAGCTGCTTGGAATGAATCTCAACAAAAACCACTGCATCTTCCTCCAGTCTTTCTTTGCAAAGGCACATTCCAGAAGGAGATGCGTGTGACAGTCTCAACTCCACCACAGACGCTTTGAAGGCAGCTTGCAGTGGCACAGGCTGAACGGGTGTACATACAGGATCTCACGGGTACTGCCCTTCTCACCACCAGCCAAGCAATGTCTTGGTGCTTGTTAGAAAGTTCTGGTGATGAGGCATTCTGCCAAATGGCTTTGACAGTCTGCTCAGGGAACCAGGCAACAGGATCCACCCTCTCCTTTTCCCTCAGGGTCTCAGGGACGCTACAGGATCCACCCTCTCCTTTTCCCTCAGGGTCTCGGGGACGCGACAGGATCCACCCTCTCCTTTTCCCTCAGGGTCTCAGGGACGCGACAGGATCCACCCTCTCCTTTTCCCTCAGGGTCTCGGGGACGCTACA